TTAAGCAATCCCCGGGGAGCATGTCTGACTGCAGGAAGGTTGTACCCCAAATCCTTCCCCTGGAAAAAGGGGTACCAGACGGGCCAGGGTCACAACGGGCAGAGAGCCCGTGGTTGATTCCAATGCAATGTTCCATGATTTGCATACCAGGGATCAGACCTCTGCTCTCACCCGTGTTGTTTTTAAAAATAAATAAATAAGGGGGAACTGTGGAGAGCTGCGCTTTGTCGGCCCAAAAGATGGCTCCGGCTTCTGCCTCCCACCATCCCGAGGGTGAGAGGTCTTTGTGCTGAACAATTTCTTATCTAGCTAAGGCTGGGCTTCAGGCCTGCTTCCGTGTATGTGGACCCTTCTGCTTTCGCCATGTGGCAGTCTGGGGTGGGCTGCCAAGGGCCTTTTAAGCAGAGGGTCGGGTTTCCTCGGGGCCCCCAGAAGAAGATTGTACAAGGCTCCTAAAATAAACTGCAGGAAGAAGAGTTCCCGAGTTGTGTCTTTCTTGCTGGTCAAGATAGGCGCAGCACACTGTCCCTCCCACAGACCCACAAAACCCTGAGACGTCGTTAGAGCAGTGAGCAGTCCAACCTGAAGCTACTCAGGAGGTCCATTTGTAGGCCTCCTCAAGCCATGCAGCACCGTCACTCTGGCTGTTGCAGCAGCAGAGTTGCCCAAACCAGTCTCCAAATAGATGGCAGTGCCTGGTACTCTCAGGGTTGCCTTCCACCACAGCAGCGCAGGCACGGTGCCCTCTCCTGCAGACACTGCATGGGCAGGGCTGCAGAAAGCTCTCCCTAGAGAAAGTTTCCCTTTCTTGCCTCTGAGACTCAAAAGTATCAAGTCAATCTTCAAATTCAGATTTACTCCTTTTAACTATATTTTACTAAATACTCTCTACTAACCAAAGAATATTTATAACATGAATAAGCTATAATTAGTAATAATGAAATAAATACCCACGTCCCACAAGTGAACTTCAAAAATAGAGCACAGAGCTGGGACTATAATAACACAAGTAAGAGGCACTTGTTTTAGACACAAGCAATAATAAAAATAAGTAATATTTTAATTCTCTGTCTTTAAAAATCAAAATGAATACAAAACCCCAGGCTGAGCAAAAGTCTTTAAATAAAGACAGCTCAGAGTTACTGGCTTCCTTTTGCACTGGGGTCCCATTGCGGCTTGCAACAAGCTTGAATATTGTAACACAGTGGCTGAATCACAATGCTTCTGGCTCTGGAGACCCTGAGACTCCTGCTGTCTGCTTCAGCAGCTACTGGGGAGTCCTCAGTTCCTCAGCACAGAACCCTCTCACTCCATTTCTTCCATGTAGCTACCTGCAACTGTCCCCATTCTGCCTCTCATTTCCCTAACCACAGCACCTCCCTTGCCTCCACCTATACAAGTCTTACCATCCTTCCAGACCCAACCCAAATCCTACTTTTCTGTGAAGACTTCTAACCTGATACCCCAATCCACCCCTTTTTAATTTTGCTCTTTTCTGAAGTGCTGCCCCACAAATAATTGTACCCTACTTTGTATTCTCAGGGATGTGCCTTGGTACTTTAGCATCTAGAGTGTATGTTTCTTAAGATCATGTTCTGTTTCCCCCACATCTGTTATACCACTGTGGTAGTTTAATAAAAAATGTCCCCAATAGGCTCCTATGTTTGAACACTCGGTCCCCCATTGGTGGCACTGTCTGGGGGAGTTGTGGAACTTTTAGGGGGGTACATCCTTGCTAGAAGAAGTGTGTCATTGAGGATGGGCTTTGCTCAGTTATAGCCTCATTCCAGTTCCTGTTTGCTTGCTCTGCTTCCTGTGTGCTGTTGAGATGTGACCTTTCTCTCAGCCACCTGCTCCAGCACCTGCTGCCTTCTCCCTTGCTGTTGTGGGCTCTCCATATGGAATGTACACCAAAATAAACTCTTCTATAAGTTGCTTTTGGTCATGGCGTCTTGTCACAGTTTTCCTCTTTGTTTGCTTCCTGGTCATGAGGTAGATGTTTTTGCTTTGCCACAAGTTTCTCCCGTGGACTTTTTACAGGCCCAAAACAATGGAGCTAATTGATGTGGGCAGGAACCTCTAAAACTGTGAGCCCAAATAAACCTTTTTGTCTGTATGTTAATTATCTCATTTATTTTGTTATAGTGATGGATAGTCGATTGAAACCATGAGTGAATGGTCATTTAACCCAACCTAACCCCAAAGTGATATTAAATTCAGGCTTTTTCTACCGACTCAACAACAAAATGATTACCATCATGCCAATTTTACATGAGAGAACACTGGCTCATGGGAAGAAAGGACAAGGTAACTCAGCTAAAGTTACACAGTCATAGCTGGTAGTAACCAACCTAGACTTTGAACCAGGACAGCCAGCCTTCAGAAACTGCTCTCCTCTATTCTCCTTCAAGAGTAGTGATACCTAGGGCATTTTCTTGGAGGAACAGGAAGATAACAGGAGGTTCCAGTAGCTAAGACATAGGGTTTCTATAAACTACATTACCAAGATTCATAAGCCTAATCATTCTCTCTCTCTCTCTCTCTCTCTCTCTCTCTCTCTCTCTCTCTCTCTGTGTGTGTGTGTGTGTGTGTGTGTGTGTGTGTGTGTGTCTTGTGTGTGGGTAATATGTGTGCATACATGTTTCTGTGTATGAGTGTGGGCATTTAAATGTACACATGGACTCTGGCACACACAGAAGACAACCTGGGGTGTTGGTCCCTGCTTCCACCTTGTTTGAGACAGGGTCTTTTTGTTGTTTGCTGCTGCATAGGCTGACAGCCTGGCCCATTCTAAGGGGTTCTGTCTGTCTGACAGCCTGGCCCATTCTAGTGGTTCTGTCAGTCTCTCTAAATGCACTGGGATGGCAGACATGCTTCTGCACCTAGTTTTACTGGGAACTCAGATCCTCACACTTATGTGGCACTCAGCTGTCACTTCCTACCCTTTCCCATGTCTTCTAAACCTGGATCTATTAAGCTGGTCACTTAGGAATAGGCACAGCTGCAAGCTGAGGCAAGTCTCTACTCAGCCAGACTTCAGATGTATCCATCTTATTGTGACATGGAGGGCAACTAACATGGGTAAAAAACAGGTGGAATCCCAGCAAGCAATCCCCTTCCCCGGCTGCTTTCATTCTCATTTAAAAGCCCTGAAGCCGAGTCTAGACATGGCATCCTTGGACTTGACACCAACCTGGCTCAGTATCTGTTTCCAGCTTCTGTCTAGATACTGATGTGGTGTGGCTACACAAATAATCTTCTAGGATACACATTTTGTAGTAGTCTTGATCTCAGTGTGTATTTGGGGGTAGGAAGAGGCAGGGGGTGTCTAAGTCCAGTGCCTGGGAAGAGAGGGATTTCCTTGACTGAAAATTCTGCTGAGTAGCATTTTCTACCCAGTTGAACTGAAAACTGACTCCAGAACATTCTAGAAAAGATACTCTAATATTAAGTGACATTTGACAGACTAACATTTTATAAAGTAAAAATCACGTTCTCTAAAACATATGGACTATGCCCTGAGAGCTCTCGTGGCTTGGATTCCAGCTAGCTCTTCAAATACTGCTTCCTGTGCATCCATCCGGTGGCAACTGCATCGGTAGCCTGTATGGCTGCCTAGTCCTCAGCACAGTTCTCTGATTTCTGGTGTTCACCTGTCTCAGATGCTCTCCTTTTTTGACAACAAAAGTGCTTAATGTCAGTGTAGAAATACCCAGCGAGGTCCTTCTCTCCCACCCAGTCTAGCCATTCGCTGGCCTTTGATCTCATGCTCACCATTTCACTTCATGTCTATTTTTAGTTTTCCTGGCTTAAGCTTCCTCAGGCTACTGAAACACAACCCTCACTCTCTTTCTCTCCCTCTGGCAAGCATGCTGCTGGTAGGAGCCCCCAGGTAGAAACCGCTTTGAAACCCTTTAGTGTCTCTTCTTGAGGAACGCCTATGGCTTCAGGATCACAGCTCTGCTATTTAAGCTGGTCATAAGCCAGCCAGCTTTCTGATAGGATTTAAACTTTGAAGTGAATCTGCCCATTTACTCTCAGATGAGAGGGTCGCTTTAACTTCCGCTTTGCGATAGCTTCCTTCCCTTGAAGGTAGCTGAATCTTGTTTTCTTTGAAAACATCTTCCTTCCAAAGTTGCCTGCCATGCCGACCGTCATTAGTGCAACGGTGGCCCCAAGGACAGGAGCTGAGCCCAGGTCCCCAGGACCTGGTCCTCACCCAGCCCAAGGGAAGACCACCGAGGCTGGAGGTGGACACCCAAGTGGCATCTATTCAGCTATCATCAGCCGCAATTTTCCAATTATCGGAGTGAAAGAGAAGACGTTTGAGCAGCTCCACAAAAAGTGTCTGGAGAAGAAAGTTCTTTATCTGGATCCTGAGTTCCCACCAGACGAGACCTCTCTCTTTTATAGCCAGAAGTTCCCCATCCAGTTTGTCTGGAAGAGACCTCCGGTGAGTAGTGTACTGGTTTTGTAGCTGGCTAGAGTTTGCCCTCAGAGAAGTCCTCCCACTCAGCACCTCCCCAAGCACAGCTGTGCACATGGGCACCGGGGGAAGGATCCTGGCAAAGGCCTGCTGGGCTCTGACTGCAAGTGTGGAAAGGGAAGGACAGGGTCAAGTCCAAGAGACAGCAGGCAGGGCTGGTTCTCTCTCACTTTCTCTCTTTCTGCTTTTCATGAAAGTAATTGGATCCCTAATTCATCAATAAAATGGCCATCCCTTCCCCAGAACCAGTTCTAGAATGTGCAGAGATTCTTTCTCGGCCTAAATGTATTGAGACTGCTTCCATTTCTCGGGCTAAATCATGAGATGTTTGCCTGTGACCACAGATTTCTGAGACAGGGAAGCCAGGGAAAGAGGAGCAGAACAAAGACTACCTTTTCAAACACAGAATACTGGGCTTAGAAGAATTTTTGTCTGTTTACCTCACGGCATAGATTAGGAAGTCAAGGGCCAGCATGAAATAGATCCAGCACATGACAGGGCCTGGGTGAAGCCCTCCTCGCTAGCCTCAGGCTTTCACTTACAGGGATCCACCAGAGGGAAAATTATGTTTCCCCCGTCTTCCCTTCTCTGATCATGCTTTCAATGTGACTTTTGTTTTTGATGCAAGAAACATTTTAGTCACAAAATAATCTGGGGCTAGGTGTAGAGCTCAATGGTAGAACTCTGCTTAGCATGTATGAGGCCACATGTCCCATCCCTGGCACTGCTAAAACGTAGATAGGAGATAGATAGATAGATAGATAGATAGATAGATAGATAGATGAGAAAAAGTAATCACAGAGAGAAAGAAATACTTATTGCATGTCTGCTAGCTTCACACACTAAGCAAGTTACTAAGACAGTCATGAGTAAGTGACAAAAACTTACCATCGTGAAGCCTGGAGTCTTAAGGGGTTGGGCAATGAGTTAAGAGTGACTGTCAGGACTCAGTGTTCAGAGTGGCCAGGGTCAAAAAGAGCAGGTCATGCCTGGGGAGAGAAAACTTCCATGAAGAAGTAATGTTAGGCTCTTCACAGGATTCACTGGTCATGTTTTTCTCTATTTACCAACTAGAGCTGTCACCAGGCTCCTCTCCTCTTCCGCTGCCCTTTGGTAAGGCCCATCATGGCTGTCATAAATGTCCTCAGTTTAGAAGAGAATGCTGCAGTGGGCCAGGTGTAGCTCGGCACACACCTTGTGTGTGTGTGAGGTCTCAGATTCCATCCAAGCCGTGGGGGTGGGCAACCCAATGGATTTAGACATGCCGCACCCCTGTTGGACCTGTAGCAAGTCTTAGCTGAGCAGCAGCCCTTCTCAGGCTAGCATATGCTGGCCTCTCACCTTCACCCTCTTCCCCCAGGCTTGATGCTACAGCTGAACATCTGGCTGCAGTGCCTTTCCAGGGTTTGGCTGATTGATTTGTCCTTGCTTTCACTGCACAGCTGCTCAAATGCCTCTTCCTCCGGTGTTGAGAGCAGGATCTGTTGTTGACCATTTGTAGACACAGCACATATACCGAGCACAACAGTACACAAATGATGATAGCAAATAAAAACCCACATCTAAGGGTTGGACACAGGACAGCCCTGCTTTCCAAAGTAGGGGGCCCCCTACTTGTATAATACTATTCAAAGGACAAAGGGAGCAAAACCTACAAACAAAACACTGTTCTTACTGGAATCACTGATAGCTTTGACTCTAAAAGCTAGAAAGATTTATTCTTATTATTTTCCACTTATACACATACGTGTATGTGCATATATATATATATATATATATATATATATATATATATATATATATATATATCCTGCAGTGCTCTGGGAGTGACAGTCATCCCATGTATACATTGTCCTTTCAGCACATATGAACCATTATGCTCCAAGAGACCTGGCTGTTTGATACTGAGCCCCTACCACCATCACCAACATCAAAGATCCTGAATTTTCCAACCTCCTGATTAAAATGCCTGTGTGTAAGAAAGATCAGGGCATGGGGGTGGAGAGATGGTTCATTTGGTTCCTAGCACCTACAGGTGGTGGCTCATCACTGTATAGTTTTCCCAGTTCCCGGGGATCTGATGCCTCTTGTGATCTCTGCAGGCTCCAGCACACATGTGGTACACATTCATACACTCAGGCACACATACAAGTGTACATACAAACGGAAAGACTGGCGCATACGTCCTTGTATTTATTAACATAAATTATAGGATGGATTTAGAGATGGGCAGTTGGAATGGGTCATGCACTTGTTATCCAAGCTCTTCACTTTACATGATTATGGTCCAGAAAGTACAAAGGATTATGTATGAGTCACACAAATTAATTGAAATTAGAAAATTGAAATGACTCCAGAACTTTCTGAAATGTAAAGCTGTAGCTAGGCAGTAGTGGTACACACCTTTAGTCCCAGCACTTGGGAGGCAGAGGTAGGTGGATCTCTGTGAGTTCAAGACCAACCTGGTCTACAGAGTGAGTTCTAGGACAGCCAGAGCCACACACAGACCCTGTCTCAAAAAAAGAAAAAAAAAAAAAAGCCAGGCGTTGGTGGCGCACACCTTTAATCCCAGCACTCGGGAGGCAGAGGCAGACAGATCTCTGTGAGTGCCAGTCCAGCATGGTCGCCAGAGCAAGTGCCAGGATAGGCTGCAAAGCTACACAGAGAAACCCTGTCTCTAAAAACCAAAAAACAAAACAAAACAAAAAAAAGTAAAGCCATTCTTGGGAACATCCATTCCCCATGCACTTCCTTGGACATGGTAACCTCTGTCAGGCCTAAGTGTATGAAAAGGGGACCATGTCCTATGACGATATACACTAGACGAGTACTTCATGTTCTTGGCATATTCCCTCCCCCTGCCTGCTATTAGTGTTATAACCCCATATCCAGCTGTGCCTTGCCCAGCTGTCTATCCTTCTTTACTCCTAGCTAATTCCCTAGCTGTCAACACCTGGACCTGAAGATAACTGCCAGTCAGACAGAAGCCCCTCAGTACCTCCATCTAGTTGACCTATTGCTTATTACTATCATTGGAAATGTCTTGAATTACACTCTAAGAGTGATATTGAGTTGATTTTCCCAAACTGTTATTTATCACAGACCATATTTCACCCAAGCTGAAATTTTCATGCTAGCACTTGCTTATAGTATGAAAAATATAAATCCAGAAACAGATATCCAGGTTCAAGCTGAAGATCAGAAAAGCAAATCAGCTTACTCTACCAAGGCTGGGGCAATCCTGTCTTCAGCATGGCTGGAGACTAATTTACCAGGTCTGAGACCCTGCTCCTCTCTTATATTCCTTTCTAGCGCTGGGATTAAAGGCATGAACCACCACCGCCCAGCTTCTATGGCTAAATAGTGTGGCTGCTGGGATTAAAAGTGTGTACCTCTGTGGCTGTGGCTAGCTTTGCATTCTGATCTCCAAACCTGCCTAGCTACAGACTTGGGATTGGCTCAAGCCTGGACTGAGATGATTGACTACCCTGAGTCTAGGGGGAATTCCAACCCTCTGGCTTGTGATTGGCTGCCCCCATGAAGTGTGGAGAATTCCTAGTCTGAGGGGAATTTCCACCCTGAGGAGATTTCAAACCCAAGGGGAATCACAAGCCTGCAAGCCTGGGATTGGTCAGTTTTTCCAGCTCGAGGATTGGCTTGTTTTATGTCAGGGACAGAGATGGCTCTGATTCTAGAGCCAAACTATATTTCTTCCTATCGTTCTTTTTGGCTTTTTGCCTCCACTTTTAGGGTCTGGGCATATTTCTTGCATAGGTTCCAACTCCAGGGGCAAAGTGTGTTCTTTTGGTGCTAGTCTCAGAGTTGGGGTGTTTTTCCCTGGCTCTAGGTTTTGGGATAAAGTGTCTCTTTCACTGGCTCAGACCCCAAATCTAAAGTGTTTTTCTTTCACTGGGTTGAGGCTCAGAGTTGAGTCATTCAGGAACTGTATGGGCTGTGGATCAGGGATTTTCTGGGGCCTGGGTCTCTCAAGATCATAAACAGAATATCACCACACTTGCTTGATCTCCTTGTCCACAGGGAGTAATGGCCACTCTCCAGCCCAGCCAAGCACTTTGGAAGGAGGCTTGGCGGTGTAAGACGCATTGTGGTTTCAGAGCTGTGGGGGAAAGTGAGAAATGTGAGGGGAAAGTACTGCACAGGGTGGGAAAAAAAGAGGCAAAACAGCCCCCCCCTTGCCCACTTCCGTGTCCCACACCTGACACCCCAGCCCATGGTCGCCCTTCTTCAGTGCTGCCTAACATCGTGAATACAGACACCTTGGGTAGATTTTGCTGCTCTCTGTGTGACCCATCTCTCTGCCTCTTCCAAGATCTTCACTATCCAGACAGAGGTAACTTATCCTCAGACCTAAGGCAGTTACTCCAGGAATACTAACAACAGCAAAGGCACAAAACAACAAAAATACAAAGCAACAGCTGTGTGTCAGGAGTTTTGTTCCTGATCCAGAGTTCTGTCCGATTCTTTGCGCATATTTTTTCTCTTTGTACATCTTTAGTAGGTATGCTTCCTCCCTGAATCCTTAACATGGTAGAAACTTTCTGTCAGGAGGAAAAATGAGAGGGAGGAAAGAGGGGGAAATTCCCATGACTATAGGTACCTGCAGAAGCCAGAAGAGGGCAGCTGGAGCTGGACTTAGAGGCTGTTGTGAGCCGCCTGGTATGAGTGCTGGGAACTGAACTCAGTTCCTTTGTAAAAGCAGTATGTGATCTTTAACCTATGAGCCATCTCTCTGTCCTGCATTATAATTACATAAAGAGTAATTGAGCCAATCATGTTGGTACCTGCTTGTAGTCCTAGCTACTGAGGAAGCTGAGGCAGGAGGATTGCTGACACTGTCAAGGTGTAGGCTAGCCTGGACAATATGAGGACCTTGTCACTTAAAGATAAACAAAAACAAATCAGCAACAATAAAATAGAGTACTTTGCCTGTAGGAGATGAACATGGT